GCAATTTAAAAGTTTTAAAATCTGAAATTTGCATTTGTACTTTTTTAACCCATTAAAATGGATGAATGGGATTTATTTCTTGTAAATCAAATTTTTTTTATGTTTTCTATGCATATTTAGTTATTATGCATCTGTGTACAGTTAATTATATGAGAAGTATGTTTATTCATTAGTTAGAAATACAATAAATATTTGTTTCCCACATTGTATGTAACTGGGAGCAAGAGCTGAATTGAATCTTCCCATTATAAAAGAAAGTAATTGTTGGATAAATACATGTAGCTGGAAAACATGAGTTGTTCCCCATTAGTTGACTCTTCTGACTATATCAGTAATGGTTAAAGAAAAAGAAAGTCTACCCTGAAATTAACCAATTGCAGTAGATTTTAGAAAGTACTTAATACCTAATTCACAGAACAACCTCACCAAGATACTATACATGTTGAATGGATGTGAGCGCTAAGAAAGTAAAACCCAAAATAAAAAAGTTGTCTTCTTATTCCACCCAGCAGGCTCTCGACATCACCACAGTGGCTTCAGTTGACGACTGACCCAACACATATTTGCTCAAGACCCATCCCCCTCCAATCAGCTTCACTATGCATGCATAGTGACAGACATTCTGCTCACATTCTCTGTGTTAAAACTGAAGCTTCACTAATCTGCTTTAGGCCTCTCTTGTCATCATCACCATGACCTCAGTCAACCAACCCATCAATATATCTTACCATCTCTGCCCACATCAGAATTGCCCCACCTCATCTGCACAGTGACAGTTCACTCACATCTGCTGTATCAGTAAATACAAAAGAATTTAATATTTACAATCTTCCTTTTCTTTCACCTCAACAGCAGTATTGTTGTTTTGTTTGTTCTTCCATGCTACTATACACATATTTATAATATATATATATATATATATATATATATATATATATATATATATATATATGGCGGATTCTCTTGTCAAGAACAACAAATGAGAGCTCAGTAAAATAAAGAGCGGTTCAAATTTTATGGACATGCATTTGTCTTCTAAGGCCTGCAGGTGTTTTGCACACTTTTAGATAGAGGGAACATGTGGCTGAGCCATTTTGCTCCCATGGTTGAGGATCAATTGCTACATGTTCCTGTGAGTGGACAGCAAGGCCTGCTTTACTGTGTGCAACAAGGCCACAGTAGCATGTAAGGAGTGGAGCAGCATACTGCCAACTTTCTTTAATATTTGCATGTATTTGATCCCAATGTTCAAGTCGGCCTCGCACAAGCCTTTTTATAGGCGCCGACTCCTTCACTTTGTTTTCCCAGGAAGAAAAGGGGATGCTGCATTGCTTCAGATTGTCTTTGTGTTTGTCTTTGTAACACAAGATTGGCCTTATAACTCACCTGATTGTTAGAAGCTGACCAATGAGAAATTCTTTTGAAAGTCTACTATACAAAAAAATATCCAGACCACCTGGGTTGGATTTTCATTAGATATATATATTTCCAATATATATATATATATATATATATATATATATATATATATATATATATATTAGCTGAGCTAATATTTTCATATTTTATGTGCTCTATTTAATATCAAGTACTTTTACTGCATATTCTGTAAAGTTAATATTAACTATGAGTCTCTCTCTCCCCCCCTCTTACTCTCTTTCTCTCACGCACACACACATTCAATATCAACTCAGCCAATAGTTCTATGGTTGCCATCTCAGATTATGATAAAATTTCACTGTATGATACCAACTTTAGAAAAATGGGAAAACTGAAAATAGAAATTTAATTCAAGACATGCTAAAATTTACTTGGATTATAACAATCTATAAAATTCATTGTTGCATGAATGTCAAGGATGAAAATACAGTATTCAGTTTGAATTTTTAACCAAAATAATTTCCTAGGGTATGCTAGATTCTGTAGCAATTTTACAAAGTTTGATATAAATAAAAACCATTTAGTTTTTATGAGGGAAAGATAATGAAACTGTAATTCAGTAAAATTTAAATCATGAATTCAACAGCTCCATGCTACTTTTCTTGCTGTTAAAAAATGCCAAAAATTTGAGATCTTACCTTGATTTTGATCATTCAGGAATTAAATCTTGTAAACAAAATTTTTTAATGATTTACACAATTCAATCTGTTAAATGAATACAATCAAGTTGAATTTTTTTTGTTTACTGCACTTGGTTTAGTTTCTATTGGTGACAAAATACTCTCAAAAAATTAAAAACTCTAAATAGGTATTTCCCAATTTTTAAAAACCTATAATTATAAAAATACATAAAACAGAGGTAAATTGAAACCAGAAATCTCTATTCTATGTATCATATTATAGGAACACCAAATTCCATTTGGATATTTTCCCAGGATACAAATTGCCATGGCTCAAATGAAGTTTCTATATTCAGCTTTTCCATTTCTCCAGGGTGGATATCACTTTGTATATTTTCACCAAAATCTGAGATGGTGACCATGGAAACTCTCAAAACATAACCTATATATTTGACTGCAATGGTTAAAAGTGCTTACACAAAATAATAACAAAATATGAACTTCAGACAGTTTATCCCCAACTTTGTGCACAATACTCCACACCTTATTTACAAATTGGAAAAATATAATAAAAATTATACAGAAAGACATTGTTGGTTCATTTTAATCAAAATTGTTTGATTGTATATGTACAAAAATTTCTTAGATAGAAAGAACTTGAAGAGGTTGATTTTTATTAGAGATAAACTTCTTTGTGGGAGGGAAAACACTTTTATGAATTAAAAGAGAAATTGATGAGAGAAATTTGGCATATACTCTTGTTTAAATACTGGCTATTAGTGACATTGTTTCCAATAACAATGTCAGTTATGAAACAAGTGAGTTAATTTATTACTTTATGAACTAGACTGATCATCTACTTGAATGGACCACAACATTAGCATTTCACACTCATATTTTTTTTCAAACTACAAATTTTTCATTTAACTTTTTCAGGATTTTTTTTTACCATAGTCATTGATAATTTTCTACTTGATTTGATTTTAATTCTTTATGTCTAAGAAAAATGGGAATTAAACTAGTTTTTAAAAACTTTCAGAAATACTAACCCACCTCGCAATGGTTTAAATTGCGTGCCCATGTACTTGTCTAGATTATATGTCGCTTTGTCTTTGGGGATGTTTCTTTTTCTTTTCAACAGAGAGATTTGGGAGGGGTTGATAGCCATCCTAATTTATGGTTTCCCTTTACACCAGACAGTCTGAAATTACTTTTTTGTGATGCTTTATTCACTAGGTCAAATATAACAGTTTGCTGACATCTTTCAAATCTAAAAATGCATTTAGACAAATGCACATTTCCATTTATATTCTCTCATCATGAACACATGCATGCACATATTTATCTATGTGGCTATGTGCATGTGTTTATATGTGCATATGTCAGAACTTGTATCTATACATATAAAAATATATACATCTCTTTCTCTTTTTACAGACAAACACACACATGTGTATCTGTGTAAAATTTCAGATATAACTAAAATATAACTAAAATTATATCTATAAAAGGATAATATGAATAAAGACAAAAGGAAAACTTCACTTATGTGTTTCATCCCCTGATGATAAAGTCCATAAGAGGACAAAATGGGTCAGCTAAGATCATTTTCCCTTTAGTCTTTATATGTGTGTGTGTGTGTGTTTGTGTCTGTGTATGCATGTGTACAGAGGGTTATTCAAAAAGAACGAGCAGATTTTTAAAATTTAATAAAAACAAATGCTTAGAAACAGAAACACATTCAACACATTACCGGATAGGGAAAGGTTCAAAGTTTATTATTTTAAGGTTACACTTCGCAAATTGCTATACACAAAATGACTTTTCTTGTGGTGTGTCCGTTTTAGGGGTTGACACAAACTATAACAATTTAAATTTATACAAAATCTGAAAAAAAACAACAACAAAAAGAATCATTTAAACAAGATTGAAAAAAATTTCCATTTATTTTAATAACTTTTTCTTATCCAGTAATGTGTTTCTGTATCTTAGCATTTGTTTTTATAAAATTTTTGAAATTTGCTCTTTCTTTTTTAAAAACTCTTCAATATATATATATATATATATATATATATATATATATATATATATATGGTACACAGTGATAGTGGTAATAAAACAGTGCTTAATGTTGGTTCCAATGTATATGGAATGACTGCAAAAAACATCTCCCGCTCTAAATTTATATACAAATCCTAGAGATGCATGCTAGGATTTTCTTCATAGCCAATAAAATTGGACTATTTCTCAGTTTCATCTTCCATATTTCTTGTGTTCTTTCTTGTCTTTAAGTCAGAATGCTACAATCACCTGACTGTATTCTTTTTGCTGGTGAACACAATTCTTACTTTGTGAAAGTTTAGCTTAATTACTATTTGCTTTACATATTTTTCTTGCATATATATTGTTTGCTTAGTGTATATATATATATATATATATATATATATATATATATAATTAATATAAGAAAAAGTTTTGTCACTTAGCTGACTGATGTTACCTTCAGTATCTCGACCACAGAGTTTTGGACCCTCCAGAAATTACACCATCCACTTGTCAGGAGGATCACTATTGGCTATATATATATATATATATATATATATATATATATATATATATATATATACAAAAAAATAATTCATTTTTATGATATGTGGAAATATCTACTGTTTGCATGAAGAAGGTTGTGAAACCAGAAATGCGTGTAGCAGAATTATGGAAAATAGAATATAACATATATTTTAAAAAAAAAATACACATATCAACAAAAATGTTTGCAGTTTATCTTCTTTTTAATATATACGCATTTCTCTCGTTGGAACAACTATATAACCTCTTCCTTATATATATACAATATATATATATATATATATACATATATATATATATGTATTTGCTTCCTTTACATATCTATAAATATTTGTTATAGTAAATACTTACTCCTTTTGATCCAGCAGTCGAAAATTTCACATTGTTTGGCATTGTTCGTAACAAATCCACAAATATCTGCCGTCGATACTTTGCAGCAGACTAAATAATAAAAAAATACACATAATAAGTAATATTTTCTAATTGACAGAATAATCAATATCTATTTTTTAATCAGTTAACATATGAAGAAAAATTATTCAATGATTTGTCATAACATTAAAAAACCTCTGATCTCTTTTCTACTTGATAATACATGAAAACATATATGGTATATAGAGATGAAGTAAAGGCCAAATTTACTGTCTATATTACCATTTATTGTTGACTCCATTTGGTTACAGTGTTTAAAATGGTTGACTATTGTCATAGTTCTTTTTGTCATTTGAGAGTTCATACAGGGTTGTTGTGTTCCTTCTGGTTGACAAAAATTCATTGCATTCATTCTTTCTTCTTTCTTTTCTGGAGTTGTACATCAGGTCAAACGCACAGCTGATAAATCCCCAACTTTTGCATCTCAAACTGCTACCTTGAATCAGGTTCCTCTCCATTGCGGTGTCTCTAGTCTTGTATGTGGTTTTCTTCTTTTTACTGGGGCTGACACATCTGTGTTTCCCATTTGATTTTTGGTGGGATGTGTTGTCATTGGTTGATTTTTTTATGACATTCACTGATCCACATAAACTAAGTCCGGGTTCATGTCCATTACCAGGGATGGGAACAATAGAAAGAAGGAAAGGAAAGGAAATATATAGAAGAGAGGGAGAGAGAGTTTTCTTTGTCACTCACTTAGTAAAGAGGAAATTGTATATTTTCATATGGTGTTATTACTACCTAATCCTACTACATATATCTTTACCCACCTGAAGCAATAGTTCTTATATTAACATGTATCAAAAATTATTTTTATTTATGACAGATTTTTACTCAAAAGCTCATTTCATGTACACATTTAAAATCTGTATCAGTGGCAGCTTTATTTCATATCCAAGAACTTAATTTCTTCTTTGCTGATTGCTTCCTTTATGATGATAGAATTGATGAATGAGTTCACTGTCAACATACAGGTTCAGGTCTAGAAGCTTCCACTTTCACCAAAACCTGCTCTCGTCATCCATTCTCTATTGTCATTTGGCTTTGCAAGATTTGGTGTAGAAGAAAGTGCCAATGGCATGAATTTGTTTAAAGTGGACCTCAACTTGCTAGGAAGTGACCCACACCCTTGATTTCATTACCTTCCTCTGCAGCACACATGGAATGAAACATACAGAATCTGTTTATTAAACTGAAATGGACTGCTGCTAACTCAAGTGGTACCTTCTGTAGGATGTCTGTCATGTGTTGCCCTTTTCATCCACTGGTTCAACCATTAAGATCTCTTGTAATCGTCATCCGCTTGTTTCTCCATTGGGGTCTTTGGGGTTGGTCGCACTTAGTCTGTGTTCTCGTCTTCGACCTTGCCAGCAAGGGTGGCCCTACCAGGAGTTTAGATAGTTGGTTGATTTTGTTTAGCTGCATATCACTCTCTATGAGTTATTTAATGCAGAAAGCTAAATATTTTGTGCATAATTTTATACTTTCAGAGTAAAGGTATGTTCTTTTAGATATATATTTTGTAGATCATAAAATGTATTGGTGGTAATTTTACTATAAAAATGTATTTCTATATTTTTTTTAGTGTTGCATTGATCATCATTTTACATTAAGAATGTATTGTTGGTCATTTTATTATTAAAATGTATTAGTTATTTTTGTTTGAGGGTTTACTATTTGTCCATAGCTGGGGCCCTAACAAGTGCTACCATCACACACAAAAGTTTAGAACTGCCGATGATATCATTCCCAGAGTCATTGGAGTCAAGGCTCCCCACCACAAGGAGCAACCATCAGAGGTAAAAGTGTATATGATTATTGTGTTACTATTATGTTTTGCCTTTGTTTGTATAGAATAAGTTGCTCCCAAGGATCAACCAGAGACTTCAAGAGACAACATTATTTTTATATCAGAAAATGAGGTGCCATACAAGCAGGGTGATTGTGGTCACTAGGGAGAGAAATCTATACAAGAAGTGATAAGTCACCATGAGTATGATTTTTTGCCAATAACATATTTGCCAGGAATTTGAGATCATATTTGTTTGCTTCTTTTGATATCGATCACAAAGTCCCAATAACAAAAATAATCCTGTAATCTTGAGTATTTTTCCATTGCCTTCTCTACAGTTTGAAATTTCCTTCTCTTACACAATTGATACCCATGGCTAGAGATCCCAGTCTACCATGCTATTTAACTCCTAGTTGTAGAAAGAAGAGATGCATTCATGTATTTTTCAAGGACAATAAAATGAAAGTGAACAAAACAGAAAAGCTGGAATTTAAAATCTGAATTTGAACTTAAATATTTATTATCTTTCATTTTTTTTCTTAAGCATTACACCCCAAGCAAGGCAGGAGTGCCACTAGAATGCAAGGGGTTATTGAGGTGTGTTTGAGGAAAGATTACAGAGAAGGATGGTATCAGATATTGATTGATATTACACTTGAATATTTGAAGATTATAGTTATCAGGGAAGCAAGCAAGAGGAAGGAAGTTTCACAGATGGGAAGTGTGAGAGAAGAATTTGAATTATTTGAATAGAAAATCTAGATTTTTTTAAAAACAGTTTTCATTTTGTTTACCAGCTTGCATATTCGGGAAAACTTAATAAAAAAAATTTGCCCCCTGGCAGGATTTGAACCTGTAACCCCCTTCATGAAAGAAAACGCCATCTGATCCAGTGTGATTTAGACCACTCAGCCATGGAGAGCCTCACAGACAAACAAGGTTCTATTTGCCTAAAAAACAACATCTTGTTCAGATCTTTTTCTCAAAAGGGATATCTACTCAGTTTCATATATGAAACATAAACAAAGCAATTTTTAAAGAGTTATGGGGTTTTATTTTTAACCCATTATATTTTTATTACTTCAAACATTATTTTTAGTGGATATACATATTTGAGTAGAACATCCATTTTTTTTTTGTTTTCTCTTAAACAGTATTTATTTCATCTACTGGCCTGCACATTCAAGAAAACTTAAAGAATATGCTCCCTTCTGCAAGATTTGAACTTGTATCCCCTTTCATGCGAGGAAACGCCATTTAATCCAATGTGCTTTAGACCACTTGGCTATAAAGAGCCTCACTGCCAAGCAACATTCTGTTTGACTTAAAACAAAGAAAAGATAACTTTTCTTACATTACAATCAGCTTGGATATTGATGAGGTTGCTGAAATAATGAGATCCTTTTTCCATCATTAAATCTTCAACTCTTTTGTTGATTAAGAAACACCATATCTTTTTTCTGAATTGATCTGGTATTCCCTTTCTGCACAAAACCTTCAAAACTTTCATCTGTAGAAAAAAAAGAATCAAAATCAAATAAAAGGAAATATATTTGACTGCATATAACATGTATTTTCACACAAATAATAAACATCTTATATCCTATATATGAAAGTGAAAATTAAACTATCAATGTATCAATAAACATCTTATATCCTATATATGAAAGTGAAAATTAAACTCTATCAATGTAAAGCACTTTACTACTTTAGAATAGTTTTATGTTATATCATATACTGGTGTAATGGGAGTGAGCTATAGAAGAAAGATTTATTCTCCCATTTAGATTTCCCTCATTAAGGGCATTATTATATCCATGATATAATAATACCATATTTCACAGATGGAACAGAATGGCTGAAAAGAAAAGGAATGACCCAAATATGCTTTGTTCTCAGAGAGACTTTTATATCACTAGGATATGCACAAAACTACACATACATATATACAAGCATCCCACACAGTGAATAATATCACATATATCTATGCAGCAAGGCAAAATGTGGGGAGAAACAAAAAAAAGAGTCTTACATATAATATGGAAATACTCCTATATCTGGAGAAGCCATTTTTAGGACTCCAGATTCAAACACACCCAATTTATCTATGTCCCAGACAAGGACATATTCCATGAACGGGAAACAGCAAGTCTTGAGTTTTCCCAAATTGAGGGCTAAGAAAGATATATTCCCAAAGAGAAGAGGCACTGTGGACTTGTAAGCTAAGGGGGGGGGGCAGATTTAGCCTCAGCCTGGGCCAAGCAGGCTGAGGCTAAATCTGCCTCCCCAAAAAAGAAAACAAGCTTCAGTTTGCTGCTATAAAATTAACTGAATTTGGCTGCTTTCATCACTGTATGGAATGATGTCATTAAGCAGCTGTCATGTGACTCACATGACTTATCTTCACCAAAGGGAGATAAGCATCTTCTGTATTCTTACACTGTGTATGGTTGCAAGAGAACAAACAAAAACAAAGTGCTGCAGATGATGTAGAAAGAAAAGGAGGCAAAATATGTTAAAATAAAATTCTCTGTATTGCCGTATAAAGGATCAAGATGGAATGTCTTTTTGTGGGTGAGGGAAGAAACCTGGAGGATGGCGGAGTCAGTTATTTATGAGCCTGGTGTTGAAGCTTGTGTTGAGTCAGTTGATCTGGGGCTACTGGTGAACACTGTGACTGCCTGTCTACTGCATTGAATATTGCCAAGTGGGTCCTTGTAAGCAGTCGGGGTAGATACATGACTCTGTTTTTTGTCATGCTTTTGCTTTAGTGGCAAGATTCATGATTAGCTCCAATGTTTACATTGTATTTTATATTTTGGGGATTGTTTTATGAGCCAAATGCAAAGCTCAGAGTCCCTGTGCAAAGTACCTTTTTCATTTTTTATTTTACTTTCATCGTGTTCACATCTGGCTGACAAATTTTGATGTGGAGTGAATCAAAAAGAGATCTAATTTGAAGCAGAAAATAACATGTCATATCTGATAGGTTATCAAATATGCTGATTACTAATGGTAAGTTGGCTCAAATGATGTTAGATCAATACATGTCTGTGAGATTACATGACTTGTCTGCCAAAGAACTTCTGCTAATGACCACTAAATAATGTTGCCAAAGTAGAGAAAAGGTTGCAAAAGTCTCATCCTCTTTCCTTTTTTCTATATACACACAATTCCTTAGAGATAAGATTTGTCATGTTTCCTCTCTAGAGGGACCTCTTAATCTCCAGTGAACCTTATGTCATACTGAATAGTGCACAGTATATAATAGCCAAAGTATACTTAACTATATTTAGGCATATGCAAATTTTCTAAAGAAAGTAATGGATTTTTATTAATATAACAGATTTTTTATCACTTAAATGTTATTTTTAGTGGATACTTGTATTTGAGTAGATGCTCTGTTTATTTATTAAACATTATATTTATTTATTTATGTCTATTGGCCTGTATGTTTGAGAAATTTTATTTAAGAAAAATTATGCTGAGCAGAAGGAGTTGCCATTAGATCCAGTATGCTTTAACCAACTGAACTACAAAGGCCCAATCAGTCAGGCAAGGTCAAAATTATACCTTTAAGTGAAACTTCTCTCATCATAGATCTCCCAAAATTTTTTATATTTGCACAGTTTCATATCTAAACATAAACAAAGTGAATTTTCTAAAGAAAATGATGGATTTTTATTAATCCGACAGATTATTTTTTTAATCACTTGAACATAATTTTTAGTGGATATCCATATTTTGTGTAGACACTTCATTTATTTATTAAACAGTATATTTATTTATTTTCATCTACTGGCCTGAATTTTCAAGAAACCCCACTAAAAATAATATTTAAATGATAAAAAACTTAGTCATATCTAATAATTCTATCAAATGAACAGATAAAGAACTCTTCTCAAATTAAGTCTCTTACAATCATTCATAAAAACTTAATGTACTATGTACTATAAGGACATTTCTATATACACACCTTCATTCATAACTTTTGTATTCTTTCTGTTCAGTTTACTTTGGCAAAAAATATGTTGCTTGTTAATTGTATGCCATTCTTTGTTATTCATTCTCTTTTGTTACATTAACATACTATCATATCAACAATCCTATCACAAAATATTCAGTTAACAAATAATCTTCAACAAGTCTGACAGTTATCCACAGTACACAACAGCTAGGGGAACTTGATAGTGCATAGTTACAGGTGTGTATTGCAATATAGAGTTGCTCTCTGAATATAAGCTTCTAAGCTTCTTCATTATTCTGTTGGAATCCATTTACCCAAGTTTTTGTTGCCATCTGAATCTTGGGATTCCAAACATTTAACAACACATCTTTTAAATGAAACACAAAAAGGGTTAGTTCTTGAAGTAAAAATAGAAACAGAATGCCAGTTAAAATAACATTTCTATATTCTTTTCAGAAATATACAATAACACTAAAATGCTTCATTTTCCTTGCAGTGACATTTGTTTTATCAAGTAACTAAGTGCTCGTGTGAGATGTGTGGACAGACTTACTTTATAATGGTCAGTCTAATGTGTTTGTGAGTTCATAGACAAAGGCTTAGTTGGCATCTGCTGATGTCATCTCTTCCATTGTATGCATGTGTGTGTGTGTGTGTGTGTGTGTGTGTGTGTGTGTGTGTGTACAGACATGTAGATAAAACTGGCCTCTGAAAGCTTCAATTTTTATTTCTGTAAAGGGGATCCAAAATCTAATTTCGCATAGAGATGTGAACTTTTTGAATACAAGGTTTTCATTAGTTAGAAAATAATTTCACACAGGCCTACTAAAATCTTTTTCTCAAATTGGCAGGATTGGTGAAAGGAGTCATTATTGTTATTTTCTAAATGGTCCAAAAATAACATATGTTAGGTCTACAACTATGACTACCAAGTATTTTGGTGGTATTTGCCATTGCAATTATTGTTTATCAAACAAACCTTCTGATGCGATTTTATTTGTTGAAAAATATATATAGGGTTTAATTCCTATAGTTCGACACCCCCGGTCCAAGTTTCTGATTAAGATATAGCCGTCTGACTCTCATCGCCTCTCACAAATTCATGGGTGGGTCCGACTCAGTAAGAAGTGATACCTGACACTTTATCATTATAATCTGATCTTACTTATTATAAAACGCAGATTTTGTGTGTGTGTGTGTGTGTGTCTGTAACGTTTATATATTGGATTGAATTTCCTACATTTTTTAGCCGATTTCAACAAAACTTCACAGGACTACATAAAATTACCTTGTGGTGGTTCTAACGGCGCCGAAAATGGGAAAAACAATTGTTTTTAACAAAATCAATTTGAAAACACGATTAAGACACATCGTGAGAATGAAAGGGGGACAACTCACCCACGAAAATGTAAACAAAAGAGCATAGCATGATGAAAAAAAAGCCGAACTTGACGAAAACAAAATTTTATCGTCTAATGTTCATATTATTATTAAAGAGGAAAGATCAAAGTATTTTTGGGGTATTTTTTTTACATTTTTTAATCGTTCCTAGCACGTCTGAAATTTTCGTTAAAAATATTGTTTTTTTTTTTTTTTGGTCAAAAAAAAAGGACAGATAATCAATCATTTTCAATCATTTTTTTCGATTTGATGAAAAAGATTAAAATCTGACTTTGATATTCTTTTAAAAATCAATTATCATTTTTTCAAAACTGATTTTAATAAAAACAGAAATTATACTGTTTATTTAAAATATTTTGAACCAAGCTTAACTTAGCTTCTGCGCCAAAAAAATGTAATTTGAAAATAAAACAAAGCAGGTCATAACCTTTCGCATCACTTGACAATTGATGAAAGGCACATTCATGACGTTTAGATAACTTACGGGAGGATAATTCTTTCTACGGATGGAAGGAAGTGATATTATTTAAGTGAACAAATTATTTACCTCGTTACTTTTAAGGAAAACTTTCAGCGCTCTAATTTTTTTTTTTTTTTTTTTTTTGTACTTAGCTTTCATTTTTACGTTTACGATGCTTTATGGAAAATATAAAGAATTTAAAAAAATAAGACTGTTAATAGTGAGATTAAATTTCATAAGAAAAAAGGTATCTAATTAATTTAGGTACCTTTCTTATGAAATTTTCCTTCAGAAGTACATAAAATACTATAATTTTATGTACATTTATTACATTTTACTGTGTTATTTGTATTTCCATTCATTTTATTATTAATTTTGATATTTCATTTATGGAAAAATGTCAAAACTGAGATTAATATAAAAATAAGATCATATAAATTAAAGTTTAGCAGTAGTTAAATTTCTGTTACTTGTAGGTACCCTTCTCAGTTGAAATTGAAAACTCAAATTAACTTCTCCATACGTGTTTCGCAAAAGTAAAGGGCTTAACAGCGGAGAACAATGCTGAACTCAAATAATGAAACTAAATTGTATTCTGGTTGGTCTTCCGTACTTGATAATTACTGTCCGACTATAAAGACAAAAATTACATTTCTTAATTACCATGGCTAATCTGATTGGTCCAAATTATACAATTTTCAAAGCGCTAGACAATGACAATCTCACACGGACATTTTGAAAGGTTGATGTTGTTTTTAACTAATGTTAAAATATTTTTAAAAATTCAATTTAAAATTTTTTTAAAAATCTTTTTAAAATTAAAGAAATAAGAAATAATTGTATTAAAAATTCAATTTTCATTGAAAAAAATTTTTGCTTTCAGAAAATATTGTCCATATTCATAAAAACAAATTAAAACAAATAAAAGCATTTGAGTTTTGTATGTTACAATTCACAGCTGATTTTCAGGTACGTTGGCCAAATAAAAAAATAAAAAAACATGATTTGCATTCTTCAAAGCCTTGTGCTTTTTTGTAATCACTAAAACCGATGGTCTCGAATTTTTAGAGTTTTTCATAAAATTAGTTATGGGGGTGATAATAAATATAAAAAAAAATATTTCTGCCATGACTTTAATAAAAAAAAAAACATATTTATAATAATTTCGATCATCTGTGAATAGTTTCTGAAAGTTTCATTAACATCTGACAATTATTTTTATTTTGCAAGATTTTCCAAATTAATGTGTAAATACAAAAAAAAAACGCTAAAAATTATCTATGTTATTTACTACCCCTTGTTGCGACAAAGAGAAACAAGGTTTTTAAATCAAAATTTAGAATATTCTAAAGATGGAAAAATTTTTTAAATAATTTAAAAAATTTAGTCTATCCTCTTCATAAAAACATAAGCATTTTGACGATAAAATTTTGTTTTCATAAACTTTGGCGTCTTTTTCATCAGACTCTATGTTTTAGCGATTCCGTGGAGTGACAGGTTAAAAAACCCAGGTTATTTGTGTGTGTGTGTGTGTGTGTGTGTGTGTGTGTGTGTTCCTTTTATATATGGGATCGGATTTCTTACATTTTCAGCCGATAAAACAAACATCCACTTTTTTTTTTTTGGCAGGTAGTGTTTCTTATTGTCTTGCACACTTTTTCTTTATTTATACATTCAGAATGCTTTAAAAAATTCCATTTACAAGACAATTGTTTATAATAAAATTCTAATTCTATTCAATCGGGGACTCATCATAACGATTGAAAACAATGTTTTTGTTTGGGTTTGACCAATTCGTAAAAAAAAAAAAAACTAAGACATGCATGTCCGTCAACCTAAACAATAATCTAACGATCTTTACTGATTGTACGAATCGAAAAATCGGATAATTCTTTATCTTTAGGGAAAGATAATTCCACGTACTTTAGGGCCGTTTTTACAATTCCCTTTGCAATTTGTTACAAGGCAGATCAATAAGGCATTGGTTCTATTTGAAATTAATTCAATATTTAAAAGAAAGTATTAAGAAATAATTTAAAAATGCCGACGTAAGAAATCTGATAGACAAAAAACAACAATATTTTGAAGATGATAATTATTAAGGAAAGAACACAGTACTTGTAATAAAATTAATAAACCCAAATAAAGTTAATATTTTTTGTATTAGAAACAACGAGTGGAAAATATATTCAAACCAGAATTCTAATTATGAATCACCACAAGCAAAATATGCAATTTTTTTTTACTGTATTCAATAAGTAAAAATCATAAATTGTAAAAGATTACAAAGAAAGGCTACCTACATTTTTTCAACCGATTTCAAATAAAACTTTCACTTTTTTTTTGCAGGTAGTGTTTTTATTGTCTTGCACACTTTTTTTCTTTATTTTTACATTCAGAATGCTTTAAAAGTTCCATTTACAAGACAATTGTTTATAATAAAATTCTATTCACCAATCGATAGACTCATAACGATTGTAAACAATGTTTTTGTTTGAATTTGGGTTTGACCAATTCGTAAAAAAAAAAAAAACTAATTAAGACATGCGTGTCCGTCAACCTTAAACAATAATCTTTGTCAATTTTATTTTTCAGTCTTTATGATGGTCGATACTTGATCTATCTCTTACTGTTACATCCCCGGGCAACGCTGGGCTCTACTGCTAGTAGAAAATAAAATTGTAACCCATTTTACTCAAGATTAAACCTGCAAGTAATATAACTGGATTACGGTAAATGATTGCACATATATAGATCAATATATTTCATTTTACTAATTGTTCACCAATACAAGGCCCAAGAGCCACTCAAGTGTTACTGAATGAGGGTGTTGTAATGTAAGAGGAAGAAGTAAACAGTGCAGATTATAAGGGTATGTGCAAAAGATAAAAGTTAACTCTAAATTTGAAGAGATTAAGATTGTAGTGATTGGGGAAGCATCCACTTGGGAGTCTATTCCACAAAGTAGCAATTCTTGGGGAAATAGCTTCCCAAATAGAACTTCCTTCTTACTAATAGAATATGAAGGGAATGGGGATGATTTGTTCCAGTGGACGTAGCATAGCATGTCTTATCAAGAGGAATCAGATACTTTCTGGAGCGGAACAAGGAAATGACTATGACAGATGCCAAAATACTCAAAACCCACTATTAACATACTATATAGCCTCCTGTACTTTTTTCCTTGACACCGCTATTATTTTAACTATTTTCACTCCCTCAGCAATGTTTGTTGTTTTAAAAAGTAACAATTAAAATTTTAAAGAAATCCAAACATATGAAAGCAAATTTATACATTTTCTTTGTTCTTTGAGAATTATAACAAAAATATTAAATATTATTTATTTTTTAGATTGTTTATTTACAAGAATAATTTTATATTTACCACATTCTAAAAATGTGAAACAACTAATACAATGCAATGTTTATCATTTACCAGTTTATAATGAAATAAATATGAAAATAAATTGTTTTATTCATAAATTTATAAAAAATGTCTGTGAACAAGAAAATTTAAATAAACAGATAACGAGTAACTAATTATGTATTTCGAAAAAATGCATTTTCCAGGCATTTCTTTCATGGAGCAATTCATTGATATTTGTAAATAAAAAACTTGTTTTCAGTTATTTATAAAATGGTAATATATATTGCATTATAGATGCTTTATATATTTTGATAATATTTTTTATTTTTGAATAAAAAGATTTTTTTCACATTTATTTTTTATAAAATGGTAAATATTAACTCTTTATAAAAGGTAAATAATAAATACCCCATTGTATTTGGTTCACATATTTTTATTATCTTGTAAATAATAACCATTACTGAAGGAATGAAGGAAGTAGAAAATAATAGCAATGTCAAGCGAAAAACCATCCTTTTGACACATATTTTTTTTTCAAATATGAAAGTTAAAGTTTGCCTTTAGTTTCATCATTTTTACTGTTTTTCTATTCCTGACTGAAATTATTCTTGAAATAATTTCATCTTTCTGCAAAAATCATTCCTTTTACTATACTCCTTTCAAGGAACAACAGATCTATACACTGAACTCAGCCATCTGTCTAAGTGAAGGAATCTGTAACAAAAAACTCACAATTATAGGATATTATTGCCATCATCCAACTTTGTTAGAAAACGGGATGTAAATTCCTGATGGAAAGAGTAGAGCTAGTAAAGAGCATATCATTTTTCATTTTAAAACTTTTTGTCCAATCAAATCTGAGTGTTATTCCCAACTTATGTCAGTTGGCATGTAATGATCATAAAAACCTCTTAAGTTTTCTACTTATTTAATTCTATTGAAATGTCTTTTTTTTTGTATTTATTAAACCCAAACAGAAAAAAATTTAACAACTTGAATACTACTTTTTTGGGCATAAATTGCAAACTGGTCCTAAGGTGCTATAGAAAAAATAATTTATTTAATATTATGTTTCTAAAATTTTTTATCCCTAGGTCTATCTGCAAACATTGGTTGGGATTATTCCATAACTGGCAAACATGCAACCTGAATGTGACATTTGGTGATGGTGGTCATGTTGGCTGTAATGGTGCTGTTACCCCTCTAGAGGAGATGAATTCAGTGTATTCTATGGCACACCAACAGGGCAATCAGTTTTCAAATAACAATATTTTAATGTGTTTTTGTGTAGGCTTTTCATTCCACCTAACTTGGTTATGGTACATGACCTGCTGGTTTAAAAGGTGGAGACAGTAATGTACACACCACTGTGACCCTTAAACATCACTAATGCTAGCCTGGGGGTTGATGTGGGAGGGCCTATAACAATCATGGTAAACACTCCTAAATGTTCTTTCATGAAGTCAAGCCATAATGAATGCAGTCTGCATTATTATAAATCTGTTTCAATATCAGCTTACCTGCCGTTTGCTTTTCCAGGTTTCATCAGCTGTGCTGTTCAGATCTTGACAGAAATATTTGAACTGCAATTGGCGATTCTCATAACTCTCTAATTGCATTGAGTAATGTAGAGTAAGTTGTTGGCAGATGTAATGCACTACCATATCTTCATTTGTGTGCATATGCTTGAAGCCATAACTGTCAACATGGACTTGTTGGTTTATCAGGCTACACCAAAGGGAACAGAAAAAAAAAATCATATAGTCATATTGGCTTAATATTAATCTCAAGAGTAATTTAACAATTTTTCTTTAGTGTGTAAAGAGAGACAGAATTTATATCGGGTCTGTCTAGAAATGATCTAATCATTTATTATAAAAGAAAAAGCAGCTTATCTAGGGCAATGACACCTTAGTCCTTATTAAAGTACTCTAACATATTTATACCAGTATCTGTTGCATTTCTCAAAACAATCTGTAAAAAGACCTCTTTTAAAATTTCAATCACCTGCCTTAATTCTCCTTAATCGTATCTACAGTCTGAAATCTCCTCCTTTGAACAGTGATTTCAGCAATAGTTGACACTGGAACTCACAGGGAGCGAAATCTGGAAGGAAGTGAGTTGACATCACTGGGTAATGGTGTTTTACCAAAAATCACTGCATGGACATGAAGAATGGACAGCCAAGATGTTCAAAATGGATGGATACTTTTCAGACAGTTCATGGAATCCCCAGAATTTATTCTAATTCTCCTTCTGTTGATTACTGATTTCTTTTGATTACAGCCCATACTTGTTCAAGATTTTTATGGCTTCTGTTTGTTGAAAGCCATCCGAAATCTGGTTTACATTCAAAAGATTCCCTGTCAAGTTGGCACTGACATGTTATCTGTTTTATAATGTTATTTTTATCTGGGCTTTGCTCATTGAATCATCCTTGAAAGCTTTCTAGATCATTTAAACAGTTTTTTGGGGGGTAAAAATCACCAAGTTTTATGCTAAACTTGATGCATATTCAAATGAATGTGATAGCCACACAAAACACAAGCTCACTCAAATTGCATTTCACCTACCAACTCAGTTATCACATAAAAGAGCACTTATTTTTGAATGCAGAGTAAGGTATTTTCTGAATGGTTGGCAAATTATATCAATGCTGTGCAACTGTTACTCGAAATGTTCAAAATAGCTGGATACATTCCCACTTTTTTCACATTCTAGATTCATAGAAAGATCATATATAATTTTAATAAAGTTCATTATCATTCCAAGAGTATTGAATGCATTCAGTCGTTCAAACAATGAAGACTTACTTCAGCAATCCAAACAACTATCTATATTCTGAATTAACTGAGTCTTGCGAAAGGTCCTAAGAGTGAACCATAGAACACACAATACAAGCAGATAATCTTTTTTAAATAATTTCACCCCAAGCAAGGCAATAAAGCCACTAAGATGCTGGGGATTACTGCATGTAAAAGAATATAAGAAAAAGAAAAACATTATTAAGGAGGGAGAACACTAAAAAGAACAGGAATTATGAAGGTATATGATAATGATTTATATTGATTTACTTGACTACTTAGTTAATCTACAATTCTGAGTAGAGCCTTTATCATTTCAAGAATTGTTAGGAATATTGTGCTCATTCTTTTTGTTAGTTTCATTATTACTATATTTCAGATGAATCATTCTTTAGCCTTCATCATTTAGCAAAATGCAAAAAATATAGTAATATTTCAAGATGCTCTAATTTTAAAATTATTAAAGATACAGATCTAATATTTAAGGATTTTTGATCAAGGAGCATCTTTGAATTTTCCCAGATTTTTTGAGAGATTCATCTGTGGCCATTGGTTAATTTGAGATGAAATGTCCTATATATATATATATATATATATATATATATATATATATGTAACCAATAGGGAGTGAGTGTAAAATGAAAAAAAAACAATGAAAAAGACAAATAACCTCACCATCTACATGTATACACATACATGCAGATGGACACAGGTGCACAGAGATGCATGAATGCACACATATATCCAATGTGAAAAAAAATCAATCTTGCACCAATATGTGTGTGTGTGTGTGTGTATGTATGTATTTTTAATCTGACGTTTTCTCGAGTGCACAGAGTGATCAACATAATACACCTTGTTTAAAAATTTAAAAAAATAGCAAATGTCTATTTCAAACATGGGTATCCATTAAAAATAACATTAGAAGTAATATATATATATATATATATATATATATATATATATAGATAGATAGATAGATATAGGTATATTTTTATCAGTATCTAAGACAAGGGCTTACAGGGTGTGGGGGAATTAAAAACAGAAACATTAATAAGGACCAGGAAGAGGAAAGAGTAAACAGGAGGACAGTAACTAGCGATTGACATTGCATTTAAATTTTTGTAGATTAAAATTGGCTGGAAAGCATGGAGCCAGAAGGGAGTTCCACAAGCAAGAAGTGAGAGAAAAGAAACTGTTAGCATAGATCTTATGGCTACATCTAACCAGCTTAACTGCAAATTGATGAGATCTCACTGCCAGTCTAGTATTGCGCTTAAATTCAAAAAGTCTAGGTACCATAGCAAAGAGCTCAACCTAACAACTACCATGAAAGTATTTATAGAAAAGGCACAGAGTGGCAACCTTATGGTGATGGGAAAGTGACTGGAGCTGAGCCACCAGATCAAGACCAATAATATTGCTGATTCTTCTTTGGATTTTATCATGGAGCTCAAGGTAAATAGCAGGGGTAACATACCATATGTCTCACTTCCTGACAGTAAAACTCCCTTCCTCTTACTTGCTTCCCTGATAACTATAATCTTCAAAAACTTAAATGTAATGTCAATTGACATCTGATGCTTTGATCCTTATTCTTCTTTTTATCCTTCTCTGTTCTATTTATCCTTTCCGCAATCCCTCCATACCCAATCTTTTCTCTTATTTTCACTCTCTGTAACCTCTTGTGTACTAGTGGCACTCTCACCTTGTTTGGGTGAGATGCTTAAAAAAAAAAAAAAATACTTCATATATATATATATATATATATATATATATATAATAGCAAATAGGAAACATATATCAATCTAACATGTTTCACGTTTATTTCTCTCAATCTCTAACAATGCTTTTAATAAAAGTGAAACATATTAGATTGACATATATTTCCTATTTGTTCTTATATATATATATATATATATATATATATATATATATATATATAAAAAAAAAGGCTTAAGCACTAATATTCCATGGTTATAATTTATTACATTGGAATCGTAATTATGATCCAATTCATCAGACCTAAAAATATATATATAAAGAAGTAAAGTATTTTTATTTATTAATCCAACATATTTTTATCACTTTTAATATTATTTTTTAGTGAATATCCACATTTGAGTAGATGCTCTGTATATTTTAAACAGTATTTTATATTTACACTATTTACATTGTTCAGACTGTTGTCCTCATCTTTGTTGTCATATTGCATTGTACACTCCTGCCTTCTTCAGGTGACTGGAAAAGATACACACACTAATGTCCCCAAGGACACATGGCCCAGTAGATAAAAGTATTGGTTGAAGTAATCCAGTGACTTGACCCAAAGAGTTGTGAGTTCAATACCTGGCCACAGCAGAGGTGAATAAAAACTTGGAGAGTTGAGTTACCAAAGGGAAATAACTGAAACTGAGTTATCCATAAGAGGCATGGCACATGGAACTAGAACAATGTACCCTGGTGGATAAAATAAAGGAATTGGTTTGAAATTCCAATCTCCTGAAGAAGGCCAGAACATACAATGGTCAAAACATTGTGAACATGACAACAATGATGAGGATAACAGTCTGAACAATGTAAATAGTATAAATAGTTACAATACCTCATCCCAAAAATATAAACAGTATTTTATATTATCTACCAACCTGAATATTCAAAAAATCTTATTAAAGAAAAATGCACCCTCTGGCAAGCTTCAGCCATATTTAATCTTCATGCTCTTCATAGACAAGAGTTTAAAGTATATCAAATCTAACAAATGGGGATGCAGGTTCAAATCCTGCCAGAGGACACATTTTTTGACAAGATTTCTCAAATATTCAGGCTGGTAGATGTAATTGGATAAAAAATTCTGTTTAATTAAAAAACAGAGCTTCTACTTGAATATGAGTATCCATCAAAAATAGCATTTAAACAAAATAAATTACAAATAAAAAAACATATATATATATATATATTATTTATGTCTCATTCTAGTCATTTTTATTTTGATTTTATCATTGTAATGCTCATTTAATTCATTGGTAAAATTGAATATAAAATTCAATGACAATTTCTATGGGCACAAAGTTTTGCTTTTAATGATCACTGTTTTCCAAGGATTGTTGTCTTACCTTTCAAACAATGGCAAACCAGGATTAATTTTTCTGGCCTCTTCTAAAAGTTCACATACTTTTTCCTTATGCTGCAGAAAAAAAAAGACAATGAATTAATAACAAATAACTCTAGATAATATAAAAGCTGACATTATTTAATTTATTTTGAAGTCATAGAAAACGTTCAATACATTTTTCAACAAGAAATCAATTCTTTTTGTCTCCACTGGTAATTATGTAGATACCTTCAAAGATTCACTAAAATATGAGCATACATTAAGAAAAAATACTCAAAACTTAATAAAAACAAAGTTCTTTCATTAAAATTTTTATGTTTCTGTTAAGAGGAAAGACCAAAGTATTTTTATTATTAAATTATGTATTTTAATCCTTTGTCAAACCTTTGAAATTTTTATTAAAATTTTGTTTTTCTTGTGTCAAAGAGTGACCATAAATTAGTATGGGAAATTTGAGCATGATTTTACAGTGAAAATTACATTGACTTGGAAATTCTTGCAAAAATAAGATGTCAGATTATTAATGAAACTTTCAGGACTGACATTATTTTACATAATTTACCCCCCATTATTTATTTAATTTTATGAAATTTTGAGAAACTCATTTTTAGCACATAATATTTATATTAGTTATGAAGAGAAATCCTTAAAGAATTTAAATCATCAAACTAATTAGATTATTACATCAATTTTTGTCTTTGCAATTCACCCCTGAAGATGATCTTGAATGAGATTGAAAGTATTTGAGAAAATAAAAAAATAACCAAAACTATGGTGTCTTTCTTACACAGTTTTGTAACAGCACTAAGAAATTGATCCATGAATTTCAGAGGATTAAAATAAAAATAAATAGATATAATATGTCTAGATTATTCAACCAAACATGCTTGAATAGATATATATATATATATATATATATATATATATATATATATATATAATGGCTAGCTACTCATTTCCAGTTATACCCATCTGCTAGGGTGGCTAGCTAATTCCTATAAAGGGCAGCTGCTCAGACACATTTGTGTCACTTCAATACTCACAAAGCTCACATGTGGATTATACTGCAGCTATGCTGAGCTGACTTTAGTTACAGTTTCTGGAAGAGAGCACATAATTTGGCATGATCAGTAGTTGAGCAAAGTCCAGTATCATTGAATTCTCAGTCATGATGACTTATGAATTTGTGATAGCACAATCATTGATGATTTCCAAAATGTTTTGTTTACCCAAATTTCACTTATTCACTTACTAGGTTGGGGTCAGACTGTGATTTTTAGGCCCTTCCTAACACTGCTGCACATTGGAAGATTGCCAAAGGACTAATATAATCAAGAAGTCACCTCCTTGACAAATAGATCATAGGGAGATTTGATCTCAGATCTCATGGCCAGAATGCAAATATTCTAGACACCTAGCCAGATACATATTACTTTCCAATAGTCAATTTGAAATATTTATATTTTTGGGTCTAGTGTTTTTCAGTAACTTTGTTTTCAGTTGCATGGTAGTTCCATTAACTGTTCATTAATTGCAATGTTGTTTATGTCCCATTTTCATGCTTGGAACTTGTAACATCTAAACATTCTCAAATTTTCTAAAGATCCTACCATTTGTTTTGAAAGTAAATATTGTAGTTATTACCACAAAACACAGTAAAATGTCAACTACTGAACAAGTTTTCAAAGTTATGATTCAGAATTTAGTGAAGGGGTGTACCATGATGCTGATATGGAGAAAGTTTCATGGTATCTGATGACATCAAAAACTCCATATTTACATTAAATATTACAGTAATGATGTGCAGGTAACATAACAGTTATAAGCACAGAAAGTGAAAATGACAAGCTCAATTCAAATTCCAGCCGAGTCTGTTGTCTTCATTTTTGCACTAATGTTCTCTAGAAAGACATAAATCTATTTCCTCTTTCCCCAACTAGGGATTAAATAGCAGGGTAGACAAAGTGTCAAATAGACAAAGTGTTGAACACACAAAGTGTCAAATTAGCAAAGTTGAATGTACGAAGATTCAAACTGACTAAATTTGATTTTAATTTTTACCACAATTGTAATTTTTCATCAATAAAAAATTTAGCTCTTTACTGTAATTTAAATGCAGATCTTTGTTCAAAAAAAGTTAGCAATTATGTAGAAAAAATTTTTTCATCGGAGGGTTTTATATTAGTTTAAATTTTAGAAATAATTATTTACCAGCATGATACTTGCATGCTAAGGAAAAGGTATTCTATTGTAGGCGCATTTTGAACCTTTCATCGTTTCGTCAGTTTGACTCTTTTTCCTTTCGGCACTTTGTCCATTCAACACTTTTTTCCTTCAATACTTAGTCCATTCAACATTTTGTCTTTCAAAACTTTGTCTTTTGACACTTTGTCCTTCAACACATTGACCTAATAATAATACAACAATGTGGAACACAAGATTATGAAACAATTAAACTAAACTGCCATTGATTATACTAAAGATCAGTTTTCATTCAAAGAAGGTTTTACTTTTGATATGATAAGATTAGAAGAAAATCCTCTATTAAGATTCAGACAAGTACTACTCTCAATGGGATTAATTAGAGGCAGTAATTGTTGAAAAGCATGCAGAATTAATTAACAGAATGGACATGATATTCCATCAGGTTGTAGTGAGTCCCAATAAAAAAAATCAAATAAATAAAGTAAAATATAAAAACAAAATATATAAACAAAAATAAAAAGAATTCAAATTAAAATAAGGCATTTACACTTTCATTTAAAACCCTATCTCTTTCTTTCTCTTTCTCTCTCTTTTCTATACTTCTCTCAAGAGAAGACAACCCTCAAATAAAAAGAGGAAAAGGGAAAAGAAAAGACTGAACCCAGCCCAAAACACTGCAAGTTTGCAAAAGCAGAGCCTACTTTTTTGTGATTGAAAAATATCAAAAGTCAGAGAGCTTCATGCATAACTTCCGATTAAAAGAAAAAATGAAAAAGAAAGGAATGCCGGAAAATAAAATAATTTTAGCCAATCAAAAAACAGGCACAAAGAGACTTTGATGTTAGCCAAAACCAAGGATACTCTGAGCCTAGTCAAAAATATATAACCTGATACGTCTGGGCCAAAATGGACATTTCTCCAGATGTACCAATATGGAGCAGTGAAAAAGCACATTTTTTGGAGGTGTGGGCTGCACTTTTCAGACATCATTTGTATGATTGTGACAAACACCTGTGAAAAATTTCAGGCCATTTCATGCCCATCTTCCCTGCAGAATCACAACTTTTTGTCAACTTTTACTGTACATCAAAAAATAGGTGTTATTTATTGTTTGCCAGGATAATAATAAATTGTACATAGGTGACATCAATTTAATTCTGATATTATTTAAGAGGTACATCATATTAAAATATTACCTAAGCATCATTTTTCTAGACAATAAACTTTGCTTAATATATTCATCTCTCACTTTGTATCCCATCACTTTTATCACTCTTTTGAACACCTTAGTATCATTTAGCCACCTGAGCACTACTAATTGTGTCGCAAGAACATCATTAACCTGTTGATCTGATAGAGAAGCAATGTAAGACAGCTCAGTTTGTGAGTTCATTCATCCAGTGAATCATGGAATGATAATTTTTCCTTGCCACTTTAGTTTGGGAGTCACCAATTTTTTCATGTTGACTACAGTATGTACATCCTCATTCCCATCTCCATCTTTACTGTCTTCCTCATCATCAGTGTAGTTTGCCAATATCCGCCTTATTCACAAATGTTTTTGCTATGCCAAATACCAAGGGACTCATTCAACTCTCTAAAGAAAATAAATGAAAATATGTTATTTATTTTAAACCCTTGACTCAGTTTGTTTTATTTCCAAAGTTCCAATAATTATCCTACTTATCAATACAGTGGTAACTGTATTGGTAAGTAGGATAATGCATGTTGGTTTGGTGACCATGCAAAAAGTCTTGCAGCTGGCTAGGAAGTTTTGGCTTGTCTGCCTATTCCTATGATATTCCACCTTTTTGATTATTATTCATTGTGATATTTATAGAATTTTCTTAATTAATACTGTTTTGATTCCCTGGAAGACTTCAAAAGTAACCTAGGGAGAAAAATAAAATGTCCCAGAAAGAAAAAATTCTGAAAGATCCCAGATCCTGTTTCATGTCTGATCATTTAAATTAAGCAATATTAAACCTGGTCAGTACTCAGGTGGCTGAACATTGTGAAATGGCCAGTGCTGTAACACGACAGAGCTAGCAAGCCAACAATGGATATGTGGGTTATCCCTACATAAGTTCACCAGTTTCAACAAGAAGTTGTTAGAGGGCGCTGCCAAGTAGCTATAAAAACTGGACACTGTCTTCATTTTTTTCTTTCTTTTTCTCCTAGCATGCTGCAGTGACAACTCCATATCAAGACCTTCCTGGGCATAGGAATAATTTTTCCCTTAGTAACTGAACTTTTTCACACACATGTACATATATTACCTACATAATACCAAACTTGTAATTTCTTCCTTCTTTTACATTCATCCTCATGTATTTTTTTCTCTTTTTACTCAGTTATATAAAAACAAAAGTATAGAATATTGCTCTGTTGAAATTCATTTCATTTCTTTACACTAACAAGGAGCAGTGTTGCAACATTATGGTGACCATAACATGATTTAAACATACACATAACACAACAGATACAGTTTTGCTACTTATACTAAAAGATAACCTCAATATATGGCAGTGCTTTTGGACTGACAGGTCACAAGATCTACATGGAGTTGGGTGAGTGAGAGAGTCTAAAAGAGGGCGGAAAATGGTAGAATAAAATAATATGTTGTTTGATAAAATCAAAAATAAATTTGTCTTTATTTTTATTTAATAAATGAAATGGTTTTTTTTGGTTACTCCATTTAGATGGAGAAGATTATTCTGAAAGCCATGATAAACACCAAAAAGATTTTGGTATAGAAAACACAAAGACTTACATGGTTACTGCCATAGAAGACAAACTTGGGTTCCTCAGTACATTCATTGTTTGGGAAATGCAGACTGGATTGAACAAGAATAACATAATCTCGTTTCCAAGATTCAACTTCAGATTCCAGAAGTTTGGTTTCTCTGCAATAATTAGAAATTTATAAAAGTATAATAAATCTTGGAATGTAAAAACAAAACAAAAAAGATTATTTTAGAAAAGAATCAAATTAAATGGTTTTATTTTCACAAACGCGCAGAAATCTTCACAGATTTAAATAAGATCCAGAGAAAGTCAACAAATAATTTTTCAATTAACTTTAAAAGTAACAAAAAAAAAAACTCTACAAAAATCTTCTTCACTATAAAATTTTCACAATAAAAATTAATTGCAGAATATAAATCAACTCCAAGAATTTGTCATCAATATTTCTAAATAATTATCAAATATTCCTGATAAGTTCTTTCATTATATTTTTATAGCAATAAAAGAAAAGGTTTACTTTGAATAACAGATCAATCTTTGTGTGAAAATTGTGCAATTATTTATTGGTGACATATAAATTCTTTTCATTGATCAGATTTTTATTTCCCTAACAGTATATTTTATTCCCACATATAAAAATTGTCTTCAAAATTGAAAAGAAAAAGTTTTGAATAAAGATATTATTATATTACTAAAAATACTAGAATATGATTTAAAAAAAATATAGTCATGTTCTTATATAGCGTTGTCATACTGAAACTTTCATAGTCCTAGGTATGACAATAAACTACATCTGACAGCAAGTCATGTGATCAGAAGATTCAAGGTTTTGAGGAGTGTAGAACTACATCTTAATTGCTGTTGTTCTCAGGTTTACACTAATCCGGGTGGTAGCACCTGTTAGGGTTCCAGCTATGGGCAAATAGTGAACCCTGCCAAACAAAAAACACTATGAAAGTAAAAAATTACATTTTTATATTAAAAATGCCAACAATACCTATTGTATTTTTATATAAAAAATTACCAACAACACCTATTGATAGTAAAATTATCAACAATAAATTTTTTCTGTAGTTAAAAGCATACAAATGCATTTAAAATATTTAGATTTTGGCATTAAATAACCCATAGAGGTTGATATGCTGCTAAACAAAATCAGCCAAACAACCAACATGAAAAAACTTTCATGACATTCATCCATATAATATCCTACAATTTCTTAAATTGAACTGTATTCCAAAATATAGCTTCAACATAAAACACATACATCACAGCTTCTTGTAATTATCTCAACACAAACATGTATATGCACAAAAGCTGAGTATCATCAACCATGGATTCAATTGTGAAAGCAGAATAACATATATTTTTATTACTTCAAACCTCCCAAGGAAATTAAATTTTGGCATTAAATGACCAATAAAGAGTTGATATGCCATTAAGCAAATCAATCAATTGAGACTTTCATGTGGATGTCATGCATGACACCAAATTCATTCAGAAATATCTAAACTGTCAGCTGTATACAACTGCTTTCTAAGATCAATGGTTGTTCATCTTCTCATTCTCTCTCTTCTTAATCTTTTGGCCATGACGAAAGTGTGGTAACTGTTCTCTCCTCAGTTGTGATGGGTAAAGGCACCTAGTCCTGGGGACACAACCCTGTGGCAGTATATGCTTTATTGCACTAAGAGAGGTGAGGTTGGTGTATAATATTGATGCTAGCATGACAGTGATAGCAGGGATTGGGTAGTTTTGTTCTTGGTACATATTCATGTATATAGGCATCCTACAATAAAAAAAGGCCTTGTGTCACATCCTATCTTAGTCGAGAGGTCACCTTCTCAGCCTTTCAGCTGTGATAAAAGTATACTATCTGTTCCTTCCTCATTTGAGATGGAAGAATGTGTCTGATCCCAGGGATTCCAATGCTACTGGAGAACTTTCATAATTGCACTAAGAGAGGTGGGGTCAGTATAATATTGACACTAGCATGACAGTGGTTGTGGGGATTGCACAATTTTTGTCTTTGGCCTACATAACAAAAAAAAAGTGGGGAGGTCAGGTAAATACTTTCTCATTCTCTCTCTTATGCCATCTAAATGTTCTGAATAAAAGAGGCTGTTATCAAATCAATGAAAGAAGCACCACTTACTATACTTATACTGCCACACGTTTTTGTTTTCAGCAATGAAAACTCAAGTTCATTGTTAAGAAAAAAATTTGTTTTTTAAACTCACTCATATTGGTCTGTGAATTTCATCTGCTCTTGGCGTCGTGAGACTGCTAATCTTTTAACTTCTTTATTCAAAAAGCGATTCTTGTTTTGCAAAATACGGACATGTTCCTGGAATTCTTTCAGCTTCCTGCTGACAACAAATAGTAAAAAAAAAATTAAGTATTTCATAATATTGAGAAAGCATTATTATATTCAGGCTGGTCTAAATGATACGTTACCAAAATAATTATGAATGAAGCACATGAACATCAAGATAAAGAAAATGGAAACAAAAAGCACAATTATATTTAGAATCAGAGACAGTTGAAATGTCTGGAAAATAACTCTTAGAGAATTTGGCACTCACAAGGCATGTTAATGGCAAGAGAAGCAGAGGTAAACAGTGAATAATCTACCTTGTATTTACCCTTCATTTTTTGTTTCATCTTTTGGAAGTGCTATCTGATGATCCGACATCCTTTAAAAGGGCTCTGGTGAAATAAATTATTATAATGGAACCTTAAAGTGGTCTGTTTTTCTTTAAAATATTAGCTCTGGATTTACATTGAGCTCTCAGGATTTCATCCTCCTTGGGACTACCTATACGGATTACCAAGTTTTTCATAACTTATATATATATATATATATATATATATATATATATAAAAAATATATATGTATATGTAACAAAAAATAGCTTTAAACTTAATGTAGCAATCAATACTTGCAATCGGTTTCTTCTCTCTCTCTCTTGTCCACGGCACTTATAGCCAATTCAACACAGCAGTCAACTGTCGTTTTCCTAACTAACTTGTTGCTCCATTCTTTCCATTTTTATCTATCATTGACAGTCAAAATTTGCATATATGCAAAGATAATCTTGTGAAAGAAAATCATGCTCTGAAATTTAACTATTTTAAATATGTGACCTGCAAAGCCACCATTTTTTTCTCTTTTAGACAGTTTACACTGCAAGGCACATTTGAATCTTTGCTTTCACTGGAGGTAAGTTATTTTATTTTTGATTTTATTCTAGTGTTGCAAAAAATACATGCAACCCTGGGCTTCTTTGCCCTCTGTGGTAGTTCTCTACAATTTATAAACTATTAGCAGTCTCAAAAGTCAAAAAATAAAGCAACACATCTCAAATGAACCTCTGTCAAGGAAAATAACTGAAATTTATATGATAACAACTAAGTTGTGTCTCCCACCCACAATGGTGCTGAGGCATTAAAAGAATGCACCCTGTATCCATTCACAAGTTTCATATTGTCAACAATGATAAAACAACCCTGAATACATCAGTGGATAATGTGTATTGTTCAAGCAAGATAACAATAATTTAAATACATATGCCATAGTTTGTGTTACTGAAATCTAAAAAGGTCCTGATCCTGGTTTGTGATGAAGAAGCTATCTATAACACACTTAAATACACTACAAGAAAATGTTTGCAATTCTGCAGTTTAAAGGCAATTAGAAATGTCCCTACTCTCTATTTTATGGTGGGCAGGGGGCAGCTGCAGCTTGTATAATGGTTATCAGCACAGAAAATGAAATCAGTGAGCAAAGTTCAAATTCTGATCATGGCTATTTGCATTCACTTTTCACTAATGTCATTATGAAACGCATGAACCTAACTCTTCTGCAGATTAATACTAATTAGTGTGACCATACTCTCTTTTGGGTGGGGATACTGCAGCTAGTGTAATAGATATATGGTTAATAAATCTACTTCTTCTCCCCAATAGATATAGGTAAAATACTAAGGCAAACTAGGTTCTTTAACCTTGTAGAGGAACCAGTCTGGGAGAAAAACAATTTGGGATTCAAAACCATTTTGAAAAGGGATAGGCTCTGTCAGGTAATCTTACTAGAGACATAGCTTTTATTGCAACTGCTATACATATGGTGTCCCAATAGACTTACAGTGAGTTAAAGGATGTTGGCATTTTCTTTTACAGATGGAACATTTTGAAATCTTTTAGCAAGACTGATTTAAATTTTCTTAATTCATATTTCAGTCAAGTATACACTGTTTTAATTTTAAATTTTCCCTAGGAATTTTTTGTAACAGTTGGATGATTTTTTAAAAATTAATATAATATTCTTAAGCAGCCTGAAGAGGGATGGGCTCCATCCAGTTATCTTGCCCAAGACTCACCACTGCTGTTACAGCTGCAGTATATATATTATTCCTTGGATGCTAATGGGTTATGGGACTTGTGACATTGAGATGATTCTTAAGTTGTCGTAAATGAATCATATTTTATTATAAACTTTCACTTGTTATTTTTTCTTATCATTATTATTGCTTTTTATTGAAATGCTTGAATAGTTTTTATATTCTTTGACCATTAAGTAGGCTACAGGAATTGGAAATACTTTTGATCAATGTTTCTTTTAATCATTTTGAATGACCGTGATATTGTGGGTTCTTTTAAAATTATAATTGTTCTTTCCACTTAGTTTTACCTGCTTCCAAGCACACAAAAAAGAAAAGAATCAAAATTTTAATATTTAAATTTAAAAATTAAATAAAAATTTAACAAATTTAAAAAATTACCAAAATTTAAATGTAAGTAAAAAATTTTAAATTTAAATAAAGAATTTTTAACAACTGTTGCTGTGGTCTTGTTGGTCATGTCCAATTATAATTTTTCTTTCTAATTAGTTTTACCCTCCACGCACACACACACACATGCACATGCACACACACACACACGCACACACACACACACACACACACACACAGTATTTTGTCTGCCTTTACAAGTGTATTTGCTTCATCTCCCTTGATTTCTATTCAGAAATCAAGTGAGATGAAGCAAATCAGATTGTTGTGGGGATGGACATAACTAAAAGAGGCAGAAAGTTTAAACTACGGTAGTTAGTAATATAAAAAATTAATAAGAAAGACCAACAGAATTAGCTAACCGGTTATTGCTCATCAGAACTCAAATGAGGAAAGTAATATTTTTTTATGCACAACTGACTCAAAAGGTAAAAAGAAAAAGAAAATACATGTGTATCAATAATATATTAAGACAAAACTCATCTCAGTACTAACAAAAATTCCTTCTGTTTACTTTAGAAAAGTTGTCTTCTTAATGAAAATAATTTCAAGGACTTTTAAATGATAGAATATGATCTACATGGAACTAAGAACATGTTCTCTGAGAAGGACAATGCACACTCCCAAATTTGTATAAGGTGTTCTGCAATTACAGACCCAGATGTAAGTCCTTGTGGGTGATAAATTATTTTCCATCCTCCAACCTCACTCTCATGGGCAGGATGTGGCAAGACTCTCACTGCTCTATCGTTACTTCCATGGAATGTGCTTAGATGAACTACATTCCTTTGTTCCACCAATTCTAACCATCACAGCTAGGACCCACCATGTCACTTACATTGTACAAAATCACCCACATTATCTACATATTCCATCAGTGAAATGTTCCACACAAACAGCTTCTTCCCACAAACCACTGCTCTGTTTTAACTGACTCCAAAGATGAGATTTCCCCAATTACTACAATCTTAACCTGTTCAAGTCTAAGGTTAACCATTATCTTCCACTCCTATCTGTATAAAGTACCTCTTTAATGTAACCCTCTAATTTGAGTGGCCTCCAGGCCTTGTACAGAGTGAACCTTACTGTTAAAATAAATAAAAAAATAAAAGATTGGTCATTATCAGAAAACAAAGGAAGTCAATAAGAAAAAGAAAAGGCATAGAATCTTTCTACTGACCTTTCAGCATTGTTATGGTGGACGTTAAGCTCAAGTTCTTCCAACTTTTGGTCCAGTCTGAGAATAACCAAATCTTTACGACTGAGTGCCTCCTGGTATCCAGTTAAGGTATTTAACACTTTAGCCATTTCACATTTGCTCTCTCTGAAATAGAAACAAAATCCTTCTTTTTTTTTTTTTTTAAATAAATCTTAAAATTTTTAATAACAAAACAGTTAAAGAGGAAGATTACCAGCCTCTAAGGAATGAAAACAAAATGACATAAAGAAAGAATGAATGTTTACGTTACTTGTTAGCGGAACTTTTGCAAATTGTGTAATTGTTTCTTGAATATTACATTTTAATGTGAAATCAAGAAATAAAAATATTTTTTATTACATTTATAACTGTAGTACAGCATTATAATGTGAATTGTTTCAACTAAAAATATTTACATCGGTAGTTATCATATCGAGGCAGTTGTTAGCCTACAGCAATCCACAGCGCAATCATACTGGCCTATTTACCAGTGCCAATACACCATAGAATTTAAGGATAGGTTTTTGTAACTGTTTTATTAGATGACCCCCTATTTTGGGGGATAATTTTTAAGATTTAAAGGTCACCTTATATGTAGAAATATATGGTAACAATTTTATATCATAAATTCTACAATGAAAGAATTACTTTGCCAGTTCTTTATCATTATTATTATTATTATTATTATTATTATTAAATTTATAATAACAAGGGATTTATTTTATACCTTAACATGTTCACCCTGATTGTTATACTCACAATATTTCAACTGTTATACCTTTCAGTATTTTCAGATATCTGTTATTGGACTTGGTGCCTCGAATAACTGACACCTTCTCAGAATTGTAAACTGAAACCTTTATTCAATCCACAAGGTTAGATTGTTCACATATCAGCTAGTATTCACCAGTCTTATTTTTTGTTGTATCACATACATTTCTTCCAATGAACCAGAGTACATGACTTTCCAGCACTACCAAACCCAGTGATTGTACTATGGAACCAAATATGCTTTACCCAATGCTTTAATCTACCAGGCTTTATTCCACTAGACCATATATCCCTTGGATAATCCAGTGGCAAAATTTGACAGCCCTAAACCTAATGTCTACACTCAGGTAGTGTAATATATGTGTTGACTCAGGTGGTGTAACTGTATAAAAGCTGAAAAACTTATCCGTTTAAATGGAAGAAATAGACAAGCATGGTGAGTATTAACTGCTATGAGTTATCTCCCCTAAGCATGAAAAGCAGAATGTGAACAATCTATCACCATGGATTGAATAAAGTGTTTAATTTAATATTCTAAGATGGTTATGAACTACAATGAGAGACACCCGAAGAAGGCTAGATGATACAACAGCTGAAATGTTGTGAGTATAACAATCAAAATAAACATGGTGGTCTGAACAGTAAAACATATAATGGTGATAATTCTTCATTCCAAAAATTTTCACATAACAAGGGATTTATTTTTATTTGAAATAGTGGCAATCCTTAAGCTTTGTACTTGCAAAAAAATGATATGTCAAAAGGACAGTTTTTCATTGACACTGCTATTATTTTAACTATCATCACTCCTTGGTAAGTAAATTAATACATTTTTTTTGTTCTTGAGAATTTACAACAAAAATATTAAACACTCTTTATTTGATTGTTTAGTGACAAGAATAGTTTTATATTTATAACATCCTAAAAACTAATACAATTGTATTAAAACTAATGCAATGCAATATTTATCATTTACTAATTCATAAAGAAATAAATATGAAAATAATTTTTTATTCATAATATTATTTACTATCTCGTAAATTTTGAATCAATTGGCAATTGGCCAATGTTTTGCTAACTAACCATTCCAATAAACAATCTAATAAATAAATAGTATTTATTATTTTTGTTATCAATTCTCAAGAACAAAGAAATTGTTGCATTCACTTTCATATGTTTAGGTTTTATTAAAATTCTAATCATTGCTTTTTAAAACAATAAACATTGCTGAAGAGTGAAGGTAGTTAAAATAATAGTGGTGTCAAGGATAAAACTGTCTTTTTGACACATATTTTTTTTTGCAGGTATGAAGATTAAAGATTGCTGTCATAGATTTCTATATAAAGTTGAATTTATTTGAATTTCTTAGATCAAGTATCATCCATATTAATTCTTTCACTTGTTTTTCTCCCATTTTTGTTGCTTTTCATTTTCATATTCAGATTTTTTTACATTCAAGGATCATTAAACAAGCAGTATGGATTGGGATTAAACAATAAGCCTCTGATGAGATTTGAACTCACATCATTTAACCCTGGAAAGCTGTCAAACTGGGACAACTTCCTACCAACCATTCAAATTTCACCAAACAATTACATTTTTCATTATCTAATTTAATTTCACACCATATCATTTATTTACACCCAGAAGTTGTAAAAGCAAACTTTCACAAATGTGTATACTCATACCAGAATCATTTATAGAAACAAATACATTTTTTCAGATTTCGTTTTATAAACTTACATGAGTTCATCTTCAAGATCACGTTCACGAAGAGAGGGCTCGGACTTAAAACTTGTATGTAAGGTTTCTCTTATAGGTTTCTTCAGGCAGCTGTGTCTTTAATGGGAGTAAGATGTAGAAAAATATCACAATGATTTTAGTCACACCATTTTATTAAAAAGAAGAATAAGGTGACTTTTTAACTTTGCTTTATGCTGTGAATATTCCTTATTTTGTCAGCATCAATAGTTTTTTTAAGTAATTATATTTTAAATGGACATATCAAAATAACAGGAAAGAACAACAAAAAATTTTACATTACCATAAAGTGGTTATACCAAAAAGGAGAAAAATGTTATTCATTTCTCATCAGAGTTCAGTCAAGGATGAGAAATGTGTACAGTGATGAAACTCAACAATAGAACACATCTTGGTTATAGCATCTGGCACATTGATAGTAATTAATAAATAGTAATAAATAATTCTTAAATTCTTAAGCTAAATAAATATTGACAATTTTACATGAACTAATTTCTTCAAAACGAAAAAAAGCTTACGAACACATCACATTGAAACACCAGTTCCCATACGATCTCTGAAGTTAAGCAATGCCAAGCCTGGCCACTACCTAGATGCTTGGGAATACCAGGTGCTGTAAGCTTGAATGTGTGGGCAGTGTGATGGGTAACAGGTCTAAATTGTTAATTAGAGAGCTGAGTTCCAATTCACATTGGGTTTGTTATCTCCACTTATGTGCAAATACCCTTGGGAAAGATATGAATCCACCACTTCTCCCCCAACTATTAGCTAATTAGTAAGACTTGTATCACTAAACCATTATTACCTGAAAAAAAATAATTATTACAATCTAAAAATGTTTTCTGGTTTTAAATAACCTGCACAGGGTTGATAAGCCATAAAAAAAAACAAATCAATTAATCAAAATGAACAAACAATACATTATTTTTGCTGGAAAAAAATATTTACATGATATCTGTCCTCCTATATGGCAGAGAATGCTGGACAATCTCCTCAAAGATGAGGAAGAGACTTAAGCAACAGAAATATGATTTCACAGAAAGATGCTGAGGATACCATGGGCCAGACATGTGAGCAACAAAGAGATTTTGGAGAGGATGGAAATAAAAAAGAAACTTATACTTAACATCAGGAAGAGACAGCTGAAATTTTTGAGGCACGTAATGAGAAAGGAGGGCTTGGAAAATCTGATACTCACTGGACAGATTGAGAAAGAGGGACAGAGAAAAGCAGCACGTAAAATACTTGATGGGCCTGAGCAAATGGATTGCAGTACAGGGTTTTGGAGAAATAATAAAAAGACAAAAGTTATTAAGAGGATACAAGAGACAGGAAGATGTGGAGAGCCATGATCACCTATGTATTGAAGAGATATGGCACATAAAAGAAGAAGAACCATTTTTTTAAGTATTAAATTTCAGATCATCCAACAAAAGTTAACAGAAGAAAAGAGATCAATTTATTTTAATAACTTTTGGAATGATAATGACTCATTAAAATCAGAGATTGCATTCATCTTGTTTTATATTCTATCATCAGGGGTACAACTGCAAATTCAATTTACTTTTTTTTATTAAATTAGTGAATAAAAAGAACTATAAAGAAAATTTGATGAGTTTTCATTAAAAAAATTCACATTACCAAATAAAATGTAAATTTGTAATACAACTATTTGTCTTCATTGGACAGAGAAATTTTGTTTGATCCTAAGAGTGAGCTTGCACAGTAATGGACATTTGTACCTTTTGAGGTCCTTGAATAATTTCCAGCTTAATTATAGAAGTGTGTTATTATTATTTGTACTTAAGAGAAAGATTGAAACAAAACTTTCAAATTTCTAATTTAAAAAAATAATGGTTTGTGTCTAGAAAACCTGGTCTGCAGTGAAGAGCCCAGATTCCTAAAAAGAGCTTAAATTTTGAATTTATCTCATTTAGACTTTCTTTCAGGGATTTACAGTGCAAAAAGTGGATTCAGCACAAAAAAAACATATTAATAGAGGTCTAGATCATAATTTTGATAGATACAAGGAAATATTTAAAACTAATATTTAGTACCCAGCATATCGTGCCAAAAGCAGGTAATTATCAATTTAATAAATGAAAGTTACTGGGAACATTTTAAATATCTTCTAGAGGACAATTTTCTTACATTTTGACAATTTAAATTGTTTTAATATTTGGGAACTTACACTACATTGGTGAAAAATTTTTTTATCTCAAGCATTTTCGTAAGCATTATTTGAAATCAAAGAGTCAGAGATTAAAAAAAAAAAAAAAAAAAATTGTGTTAATTTGACTGAATTTTGTGTTTCAGAGCTCATAAATCCATTTGATATAGATCACTTATTTTAATAAAAGTGCCAGGTTATACCTGTCTATCACTTATAATATTAATTTAAACTTGATTCCAATGAATTTCCTAGCAAAAAGAAACAAAAGAAGCCACTATCCAAAACTGAGCATCTAAAAATAAGTGATTATACATGTGTGAGTTTAGGTTATCTTGACAAATACTTGGAGTTAGGACAAAGTTAGACCAGTTCTGAAATTCTGAGACTACCTAACTTTGGCGGTGGTGGCGGTGGTCAGTCTCTCAAGGCCCATGAGATCAATTCAGGTATTCTGCAAGGCTCACTCCTCAGTCCAACCTTCTTTCTTATTTACATTAATGATTTACCTAAGAGTATACACCAATCTTTTGTAAATATCTATGCAGCTGATACAACAGTATATAGTTGCATCTTCAAAATTCTAGATGGCCAGAGCCTGGCAGCTGATCTATCCTCTAATGGGGGAAAAACTGGCTGGTCACATTCCATAACTCAAAAACCAAACTAGTAATGTCCCATTATCATGGAGCAGACCCCAAATTTTCATTTATCAAAATGAACAGGTATTCTCTCAAGAAGACTTCATGTCTTACAACAATTGGAATTGATTCAAAAATTTAATGCTTCCAAAAGCAGAATGGAGACATACAGTGCTACTAAAAGTTTATTTGTATGCAGATATTGCAATAAGGAGCATAAACAGAACAAAAATAAGTGTTCAGCCTTTGGGAAATGGTATTTTAAGTGTAAAAAGGGGAATCCTTTCTAGATGATATGCACATATGAAACATGAGTGGAAAATATAGATCCTCTGATTGAAAATACAGAAGTATTTGAGATAAAAGCACAGGATAAAAGTAGGGAAATGATTGAAGTCGAACAGAGTAACTTTACTCATGCAGATGGATACTGGAAGTGAGGTTACATTGATACTGAGGAAATTTTTGGAAAGAATGTGTAGACTGAAGTTAAAGAAAAGTAATTTCCAGGTGAAACAGTTCGATGGATCAATCATCAAAATTTTAGGATGCTTTGAAAGTACATTTTTAACAAAAAATAGATTCAAGATAATTCCCATCATAGTGGTGGAAAAACATCAAATGCTAGTCTTTTAGGAATTGATGTGTTAAGAATGGATACATCAAAGCTGATAAATTCCATGAAGTCTGTAGAACTGAATATTGGATTATTAAGGGAATAAAGGCAAGTTTAAATGCGAAAAAATTTTGTATCTAGGATATCAAATATCTAAAGACGCTATACTACTGGATGATAAACTCATTAATATCAGAGATAGCTGTACCAAGAAATAAAAAAGAGAATCTTTTTGGGGATTAACCAATTTCTATAACAGATATCTGCTGCAATTTAGTGACTTTGTGGAACCATTTAGCAAATAAGGAAGAAGAATACAGAGTTTCAATGGACAAAAAGACAGGAGGATGCTTTTGAGAAATTAAAAAAGGCACACATAAACAAACCAGTTGTTAAAATTTTTGACCCAGTGAAAGAATTGACGTTAACTAGTGATGCCCATGACTGACTGTCAGTGCCACATTATTGTCGCAGGAGGATCACACTGTAATGTACTTATCCAGAAAACTAACATTAGTGGAGGCAAATTATTCAAATATTGAGAAAGAGGCATTGGTGACTGTGTGGAGAACAGAAAGAGCTAGAAAGTTTTGTTGGGAAGGAAATTTCTATTAAAATCTGATCATAAGCCTTTGGAATTTATATTCAACTCCAGAATAGAGTTGTCAAAGGTCACATCTGCCAGGATATTAAGATGGGCAATTAAGCTTATGGCATTCAACTCTGACATCATATACTAAAGGAAATACAATTCTGCATGTGGATGCATTACCTCAGTTAAATTTTAAGAGTAAAAATGTTGAAGCAAGTAAAAATTGTGTGGATAGGACATTGCACTGGATAGAAACTGATGTAGTACTCTTAAATCAGCTTAAGTTGGGAACTAGTCAGGATCCAGTGTTGAATAGAATTATGGATATAATAAAGAGAAATACATGGAGTAATTGCTCTATGGCTGAGAAGTTGTATAAAGAGTCAAGATACAAATTAACAATGCAAAAAAAGAATTATATGTAATGGATATATAATAGTACTTCCACAGACTCAAAGAAAAGAAGTAATTAAACCTGTGAACAATGATATACATGGAGGTATATTTACTATGCAAATGAGGTTAAAGTTGCAAGCATGGTGGCTAGGCTATTTGAGAGACATGGAAGAGCATGTTAAAAAATGCCCAAAGTGTGCAGAAATAAAGAAATTTAAGCAAACTAAAATTCACACTTGGCCAAAAGAAATGGAGCCATGGACATGAGTACATATGGATCATGCCTACATTAATGGTATAGGACTATTTCTGATATTAGTCAACTCATATGCAGGTTGGCCTGATGGTATTAATGTCACAGATAAAAAAAATCCACTACAATGAAGCAGGTGTTGAGAATAGGGTTTTCAAGAAATGAAGTTCCAAAAACCTTGGACTCTGACAATGCACTTGAGTTTTGTGAAGAAAGGTTATGCACATGGTTAAAACATATTGGCTGCATTCAATACAAAACATTACCTTACCACAGTCAAATAGAATTGCAGAGAGAATGGTTCAGACCATAAAAATGGGATTAAAAGCATTCTCTCCAGTGGTTTGTGATATAGAGAGTTATTTCCCAGACTACTCCTAAGTTATAGAGTTATTGTGCATGCAGGCATAAGACAAAACTCATCTGCATTGATAGGAAGACAAATAAGAGTTCCAATTACCATGTCATTTGCAACAAATGAAAGTGTTTGATACAGAAAGGACAAGGATTCAAGTCCTGAAAAGGCAAATTTTGTGGTGCAAAATGGATTTAACACATCTGTTTTAACAAAGAATAGGCAGAGCATAGTGGCTCATGAAGACCAATTTAGAACCACAAGAGAGCATAAAGTTATGGAAAAGAAGGAGTAAGAGGAAGCAGAAGAACAAATGACACAAGAAAGGATGGGTGAATCCAGTATTGAGAGTGATCAGGAAGACCACCAGAGATATGAAAGTGAAGAACATGAGAGGGAGGAGAGAATGAGTGTATCCAGTCATAATAAGGAACAATCTGGGGATGAGAGTGACCGGAGATATCATGATGATTCGGATGATTAGAATCAGTTAAGACCTAGATCTCCTATAAAAAGAAATAAAGAGACTCACTCTAAGAGACAGATTATGTTTCCTAGGGCTGTTCATAGAAGTCAAAGATCAACTAAAGGTATAAA